ATGAATTACATGCAATGTATTATACTATTAAAATAAACTCTATTTAACCGAAAGCTTATAAAAAGGTTCATTTCCCTTAAACTATTTTTAATCAAACTCTTCAATATTTTTTAACAAATTAAATTTTAAATCTCTTTCGACAAAAAAATTTTCTCACTTTCTCACAAACAATATTTCATCTTTTGCCAAAAAATAATATTTTGTTTCCCTTTCGCATATATCATTTTTACTAATAATATTTCGTCTCTTTTTTGCATACATCATTTTCTTTCATTCTCAATTTCTCACTAATATTTCATCACAAATATGACTAGAAATATGGGTTGAAAAAAGGCTACAGCAGTACGTCGTCAACCACCATACCGCCAGGAAGTAACGTGTCAACAAAAAACTCAAGGAGTAACAGAAACTCTTAGTAGCCAAGAAATGACAAATACTTCACGTCAGCAGGTTCTGAAAACAACTTTGACACCTTCAAGCAGCCAAGAAACACGTCAGCAGATTCTGACAACAACTTTGACACGTTTGAGTAGCCAAGAAACACATCAGCAGGTTTTAATGACAACACCTCCTAGTAGCCAAAAAACACCATACAAACAAGTTTAGCACTAAATATAAGTAATCAAGAAACACTACGTCGGCTGGTTCTTACATTTCAAAGTCAACAGGAAATATCGAAATCTTTATATCAGCAGGATCCAGCAAATGAAGGACTATTCAAATTATTAGTACCATTAAGTATTTCCAAAAAAACTCGATCTTAATCTCAATCTCCAACTCGATTAGATAGAGATTATGATGTTTTGCTTAATTATAGGATTGAAGACAAACATCAATATGGCGAAACCTCAACTGCTAGTATAGTTAGAGATGCCATTCTGGAAGCTGATAACTGGAATCTTCAGGCTTCCTATCTTAGAACACCCAAAAGGTCTTCACATGTCAGCAAATAGGTGACGAAAGACGTTATGATGAAAGGAGTAGCAAAAGGAGTAGCAAAAGGAACACAACTCCTTATTGTCGATAATTCAACATTTCTCGAGGTGACGAATTTTGATATACTCAATATCAATACATACGAGAATGCAAATTAAGACGTGACGAAAAGAGTGTAACTCCTTATCGACCAAGAAGAAGAGAAGCTTATCCTGAAATAACTGACTCTTTGCTAAACGAATGTAAATGTAATTTATTGCAAAAATTTAGCTGATATATATATTTTTTAATCAATTTATTGTTAACTTTTTTTTATGAAAAGTATATTTACGTAGAAGAATTGACGAGTTAAGCAGGCAACTCAGCAATGCAAATGAAGAATTAAGACATTTAAGGACAGAATTCGGCAAAGTTACTGGAGATAATGAAGCACTTATTCATGAAAATGAGAGTTTGTAAGATGAAGACAAACGTAACCGACGAAAATATAGAAATAAAGAAATAGATAAAGGTCGTCAAGAAAAGCGAACTCGACACAGTAGTGAAGACGAAAGCGATGAAGAGGGTATGACAACAATGAAGCAGCATGAGTTCATTTAAAAACTCTAACTTTTCTGAATTTTAATTAATTCTAGCTGATTTTTAATCTAATATAACCTATATCAATCAAATTAACTTAATTCGGCTTTTATTTTTTTAATAATTTAGAATGAAATGAGAATGATTTTAATGATATTGCTGACCGATCTTGAAATGAGATATGATCTTAGTTTGACAGTAAACTAAATACTGAAATATTACGAAAAGTAATACCACGTCTCGTCGATGCGTTAAAAAGATTCAAAATGACATACAAATAAGTCAATATGTATCTTAGCATCCTTCACAGGCATCGATGAGTTCGTTTATTGTATAAATAATGCGGTACTTTAGATCGTAATAATCAGTGTTTACACAAAAACAGTCGCATCAGTGAGGTAAATGTCAAAATTATTTTTTTTAAAAAAAAAGTAACTTCAATTAACATTCGATATTTTTAATATAGAAAAAGGCCCGAAGAATCAAAAGTGACAATTTGCTTTTTGATTTAGATGATGAAAGAGTTTTGAAATATGATAAGAAAGGGTTATTGAGGATCTTGGGGGACAATCATTATCATTTTTCCAAAGATTCAGAGACAGATTCAGAGGAGAAAAGAAAATGATCAATTAATATTATAATCTGAGCTGGAGATCAGACGAGGTTTGATAATTTTTGAAAAATTTATTTATAATTTTAGTTAAGTTTTTTAACTAATTATGATATTTAATTTTATTACTTGAGGCGTTGTTGCGAGAGCTCGTCTGTTATGCGTTCTCGCTGCAAACTGCACAATTGACGAGAACTCGACATTATAGCGACAACTTTACAATAATGATTCGTCATCCTCAAAATGCTCCTAACTGGACATTTGTAGATCAAAACACTTCAGCAGGCACTAACTTTTTCGCATCTGAAACCGAAATTGAAGATCAAGATGATTACGTTGAAGAAGAAGAATAAATTCGATAAATTATAAATTATAGCGAATTGTATTCTATTGTTTATCTATATTTGTATTTATTATATTTTATAATTATATTATATTTATATTTTATTTTATATTTTAAATTAATAAACCAATTATTATTAATTCGATTAAATTACGTTATTATAAAATTAATAAATCGTCTAAAATGCGAAAATAGATATTAATAAGATCGTCTAAATATTGGAATTTTATTTTACTAATTTTAATTACTTATAGCCGAAATATTTTCGAACTTTTATTAACTAAGTCAAATTTTGTTTGTTTATTAGTTAAATGAATTTAAGCTGGTTGTATCAAACGTATCAAATTACTACCAATCATTAATGTCGAATGTATTTTTGTATGACACCTGAATTAGGCAACATTGGCTATAACTAAAAATGCTGATTGTTTTGGCAATGATCGGCAGAAATTAGATTATATTTCAGCTAACATTCGGCACTTTAAAAAAGTGACAAAATGGATTATTTCAACTAGTGTAAAATAATCTTTATCATTAATGTTTTTTAATACTAATAAAATTTGATAATTAGATATTTCGATTATAAATACCTTTAATTAATAACTAAAAGCCTGTTTCATTTGACTAAAGTATTAGAATCAATAAATTAAATAAAAACTTAAATTAGTATATTAATATAAATTATTGATTGATTTATAAATATTTATTCAATACTAAAAAAATTTAATAAATAATTGTTTTGATACCTAATGAATAACTTTAATTAGTAGCTAAAGGTTTGTTTTATTATACTTTAATAACAGAATATTTTTGTATATTTTTAAAAAAATTTAAAAAACCTCTATTTTAAAACAAGTGATTCTAAAATAAAATGAGTTACATAAAAAAATTTAAATAATAAATATTTTTATAAAAAGCAATAAATAGTAATATAAATAAAAATAAAAATTAAAAAAATATATATTTTTATGCTGAATAGAATTTATAACAAAACGTTAACATAGAAAAATGTAATACAAGAGGAATTAAAATGTATTAATAAAGATCAGTAAAGATTAATGAAATAAAATTTATAAAGATGGTAGCCCCAATTAAATAATTCATTTTCAAATAAATAATTTGATTTAAAAAGTATATATAAGCATCAAATTTAATATCATTTGATTATTTATTTTATTATAAGCTTCATAATTGTTTTTATGTAATAGTCGTTATATTGATCGTAATCTATCAAAAATCAAAAATAATTGATCCCAATTTTAGTAGTAAAGTAATGCGCAGAAAATAAAATTTAAAACAAAGAAATAAATGATGTAATATTTTGAAGTGGTCTAAGCTGAAAGAGATTAATAAAAGAAGAATGAATGTTGAAAAATCGAAAAAAAAATTCGATCGCTGTGGCCCGAGAAGCGAAAGAACTCATAAGTAAAAAAGAAAGAGAATATTAAATATAAAACTGGTAAAAGCATATCAATAGATTTTTTTTTTTAAAAATAGATAAAAAAAGAAGAGAAATTCTAACATTATCATAAAAAGTTATTATTTACCAAAAATAAATTTATATTTTGTTAATGAGATATAATTCGGCTTACTTTTTTTTTTTAAAAAAAATTATTTTAACAAATTTTGGATGCAATAATCAGCTGTGCTATAAATTAGAATCGATTAATCGAATCCAGCATAGAATTGAAACTCACGTAACAAATAATTGGTACTCAAATATATACTTCTTTTAGAATCAATGATAATTCCTGTACTTCATCAGAATATATTGGGTGGTATGCTATTAAAATTTAGGTATGAGACATAGTAAATCATATGATCTGTATCTCAATTTTAATAGCACACCACCGTATGTCAAAAGTCTGATACGATCGGCCTATCAAATCAGGGGAATTATCGTAAAACGTTTCATACATATTTTTTAAATACAAATAATGATTTTCATTGTTGAGCGAAAATTTATCATTTCTTCCATAATACAACACATAGAAAGTTCAAAAATGGTGAATAAACAATTATTTATTAGTTCAATATTGTAAGAAATAATATTTTATCTAACTTATTTATAATTTTAAAAATATAATAAATATAATAAAGAACAAAAATTCTTCCAGTAAAAATGCTACACCTGACAATATAGAAAATTTTAAATCTTTTAATACAATATTGCATGAGAATATATCAGACAATAAAATACTTCTCCAATTAGAAAAGGATGGGTATAATACGCTTGATAAAAAAGCAAAAAAACTTATTACAAAATTAACTGAAATAAAATATTTATTTGCATTGAAGTTGTTGTTTGAATGCTCACTTAATCAATTTTCACCTCAAGTTCTTCGGGATTCTTTAGTAGCATTAGTAGATTCAACATCTTTCAATTATTATGCAAAACAAAGCATGATTAGATTAGAATTGCATGTACGTATTTGGGTGGCAGTTTTAGAGCAAATTTGTATCACACCGATGTGCTTAAGTAAAGAACTTCGAGACAGAGTTTATAACTCATTAGCGAGATTTTCAGAAATTCACCGAAGAACAACACATGTAATGCAAGAAGGTATTGATAATAATTATAACTCAGATTTTAATCAATTTAACCAAGGGAATATTGCAGATGAAGAAGAAAGTATTAAAAAATGAAATTATAACATTGATTTTTTATTGATACACTTGAGAGATACAATACATAATCTTCATGATGATGAAACTTGGTTTTAAGAAATTAAACGACGAACAAAGGATTTACTTAAGATTGTTCTTAATATTACTCTGTCAATAGTGGCTCCCCAACTTACCATTAATAATGATAATTATTCAATTTTATCAATGATTACTCAGTTACGTCAAGGCTTAACTTTCAAATATTCTGTAGCACCTTATTATGTAGATTGGAGAATTATGTTGATAACCCAACATAATATTATTAAATAGTCTGAAAGTTCTGAAAAGGTTATTAGTCGAAAATTTGGTGAAATGATCTTAATGGAATATTTTTGGAGCTATTAGAAAGAGAGTGGAGTAATGTTGCTGATAAAACTATGTTAGATTCTTAATCAAAATTTGATAAGGTTTCAAGTAAAATTTTTAAAGCCCTAAAAAATATTGGAAGTTTATTAAATGATCTTTCCAGTAATGAACCTCTTGCATTGCCATATACTTTATGGTTCAGAATTTTGGATCTTGCATATAATCTTATCAAAAAATCCAGTCGAACGGCTACATATGAGCTTTGTTATTATTTGGCAATTGAATCACTTAATAAAGCATCTAGCAATTTTATTCAATTTAAAGCAGTTGAAATATTACTATACTTACATAATATTAACAGCGAATTATTTTCAATGATTGAGCTTGATCTTGACCAATACGCGCAAAAATTGAAGGAAAACTCTACATCGGAATGTTCAAAACATTTCCAAAATATATTGACATTTATAAAAAGCAAATATCTTGATGATATTAATAAATTAAATGATGATATTGGTAAAGGCAAAAGTAAAGTAATAAGAATAGATCAAAATACACACCTAAAAAAAGAACGAATATCAAATTTATATGATATTATTGATATAATTGCATATGAAATGACTTGTCCGATTAGTCAAGAACCGGCAGATCAATTATTTATTTTAAAATGCCATCATGAAATATCAATGAATAATTTAAAAGTATTAAAACAAAAAAAAAGTCTTAAATGCCCTCAATGTCGAAAGGACATTGATGAAAAAGATATCAGATATTTGCCACAAACTACTGTTTACAAAAGTTTATATTTATATCTAATTGAAGCTGGTCATATTTCTTTGAATCAAATACAAATAAATCATGATGATAGCGATTTTGAGAGTTCTGAAATTGATCTTAATTTAACAAAGAAACAGAAAATCATTCAAAAATTTAAATTTATTTAAACTAAATCTATATTTAAATAAAAATTTCAAAAAAACAGCATACGACATATCAAAACGCTAGGAGAGAATTAATAAAGAAAAATTATGAAAGATCTGAATATTAGTGTAATGAATTTTTAAAAGCTCATCCTAAAGATTATGCTATCAGATGTATATTAGCTTATAATTATATATGTCGTAATAATTATAAACGAACGCACTTTTTTATAGATGAAGCCATTAGTTTAAAACCAAAAAATCCAATTGCTTATTTTATTCAAGGAGAAATTTTTTTTAAAGAAAAAAAATATTCTAATGCAATTCTTTCATTAAAAAATTCAACACTTCTTAAATTCAAGTTTAAGAACCCTCATATAATACTTGGGAACATTTTTCTTCATTATACTGGTAATAAGGATTTAAAGTTATACTATAGTAATACTGCATTAAGCTATTATAATACAGCATTACAAAGTAATCCAAATAATTATTTATGTCTAAAGAATTATGCGTATATTTATAAACATCAAGAGAAACTTTTGAATGCTTTAGAAATGTTATATAAATTGTTAAATATAAATGGAAATGATTCATTAGTTTTAAGTTATTATGGGGAAATTCTTATGAATTTAAGTAGATATATCGAAGCAGAATTATTTTTTACCAAAGCAAATAATTTAGATTCTGAAAATATTCACATTATAATTAAAATAGCCATTACAAATATTGTACTTTAAAAATATGATAAATCTTTATTGAATCTTAACCAAGTTTTACAATTCGATTCTTTAAATACTACTGCACATTATTATAAAGGATTGGTTTATTATTTATTAGTCGATGCAATTAAAGCAATACCAGCATTAAAAAAATGCATAGATTTAGATTCCAATGACAAACTAGCGAAAGCACTGTTGCATTATTTTGAATGCTTACTGAATATAAAGATTAACGATAAAGATTTAGATATTAATAATATTTCATCTTTTTTATTCAGAAAAAATTATGGTCTTTGGTCAAATTTATGTAATTATTGTCAGAAAGATAATATTAATCATAAATCTTTAGGAATTTTTGATAAATTTAACAAATATATGTATAAAGGTATTACAATAATACTAATTTTATTTTTTTTATTTAATTTCATAAAATATTAATCAATAATTTTTTTCTAGAAAATAGTTGTTATTTTTATCAAATCTTGAGAACCTTCAATATATTAATATTATGCTATTTCAAAATGATTCTATTAGATAATTGTATTAAATTATTTTCATAAAAGTTATATATTAATATTAATATATTTTATAATTAAAGTTTGTTAGGAAAAATATTGCGTTTTTTGAATATGTCTGATATATTAGATTCTCAGGACTACCCGTGTCTGTATAATTATTTTAAATGTAGATATGGGAGCTTTGCAATAGAAAGGGAGGAAACTCTAAAAAAATTAAAATTTTATTTTCTAAGCTAATTATGATTTTTTTTGTAAAATAAGTCTAGATTTAACATTAACTAAAAAAAAAATTTTTTTAGAGTTTCCTCCCTTTCTATTGCAAAGCTCCCATATGTTGTTTGGAAAATATGTATCACAAGGGTAACATCAAGAGATTGTACAATTAACGCATATAACGATAATGTAAGTATGCAAGTTTATTAGCTATTTACTTATTGCGCATTGCGTATTTATGTTTTTTTTTGTGCTATAATTTGTAGAATTATGAATTACAAGAATATCAAGAAGAACATCAACTAAATTATGATAAAATAGCAGAGCTGATTAGATTGGGTTGGATAGAGTATAAACTTCCATTCTGTATTGATGAATTGGATTTTGTATAACCTTCAATTGTAATAGAAAACGGGTCTATCGATATGGTATGATCCAAATTTTTTTGCCATTTGCAATTGTAATAATAATAATATTAATATGGTATATTTTCAATTTAAAGAAAATGGATTATGTTCGGTTCACATTTACTGAGGGAAACCAAATTAATCTTATAATAGAACATTCATTGCCTATTTATAAATCACATCCTAACATACCTGAAGCTTTTGAGGATAAATATTTTTCAAAGAAAGAAATGGAAGATATGTTTGATTCAGATAATATGCTGATTTATATATAATTATAATTATATTGTACTTTTTTATTTAATCTACAATTATTGTATATTATCTTATTTTTAAATATTGTTTTAAGTAAATTATTTTATTTATTTTTTTTATAAATATGTAATGGTAAGGATATTAAATGGTCAAGGAAATAAGTAGAATACTTGTATAATTCTTTTATAATAGCACTTATTATTTTTTTATTGATACTTTTGCTTTATTATCACTCCTATAATTTTGGCGCAAACTATAATTAAAAGAAGACAAGCATAAGCCAACAATTAATTAACATGAATGAATAAATAATGAATTTAATCGTTTAAACTTTTCAATAGACATCTAACATTGATTTAAACATTCTTCTTTTAGATCGATTTTTATTAAATTATATAAAGTCATTTCAATTATCCAAAAGGTGCTAAAGTAGGCACCCTATTTTGAGACGCTGTCTTGTTCAAAAGTTCAGGATTCAACCCCTGAACATATTTGGATAAAACCCCAGCATCTTCAGTAAAATTTTGATTTTAAATTACATATCATTAAAACCGATTTTGACGATAGAATTTATTCGTTGAGGGAATAACGTGGAGGGTTTGTCAGGAAAGAATTGCAGACTTGACCGAATTGGGCGAGAGCAAAGTATGAACTCTTCGAAAAAGAGGATTATGTTCTATTAGAAGTTTGTTACAAAGGAAGGTACGCAATAAATTTGACGGAAAACTTCTGTTGCGTGAATTATTTAAACAATATATCTAATTTTTTTTGGATGTTGATTGGAAATTAAGGTTACAGTGCTGGTAAAAAGTAATCAGAACGATATTTTTATTTATAATGCAATGAATAACTGTTTTATATCATAGTTCCGTTATATCGTCATAAACAACTAACTTTTTTTATCTATGAATAAACTTTTTGATCATTCTTTTTTAGTGCTATCCTTCCTTTTTTTACAATTTTTTTTTACTACAATAAACTTTTCAATCATCCATCTTTTTTAGCATTATCCTTTTTTTTTTACTTAACTTTCTCACTTCACCTTTTAAATTTTTATTTCTCTTCTCTTTCATTTTAACTATGGGTAAAAAAAATATAATTTCTTCTGCATTAAATATGCCCTTTCCAAGTGTTCAAATAGCAGCTAGTTTAATTTCTAATGATCCTACTACCAATATTCAAGAAATTGCTCAAGAAAAAGCTTCCTATTATCGTGAAAAAGCAAAAGTAAAAAATACTGAAAAATCTACTAAAAGCTGGACTATAAAATTTGAAGAATTTCGTAACAATGCAGGTTATTTTGTTCCTTTAACTGAACTTAATAACTTCAAAAACAAATTGTAGAATTTATCTCTACAATGAAAAAAAAAGATGGCAATGCATATAAAGCAACATCGGTTAAGCAAGCTATTGATGCACTTAATAGACACTTTCTTCATAATTCACCTATTTCACATATTAATTTGCATGATAAATATATGTTTTCTGATTTACATGATGTTTGACATGGCAAATTACGAGATCTGCAAGAACATGGATTTGGCAAAAAATCTGGTTCAATAGCTATCAATCCTCAACAAATCCAACAAATTTTACAACATCCTAGAGTTAATTCAAATAATCCTGAAAGCCTCTTATATCGTATTTTTTTTGTTTATTTATAATATTAGCTATGCGTGAAGGTGAACATTATAATCTAAAAATTGATTAATTTAAATCTGATGGATGTAATGGCTTATGATTTTTTTGTTATATATTCAAGAATAATCAATGCAGAATTCAAGAAGAAGAGGCTCAAATTATTTCAATATCTAGTGATGACAATGGTACATGTTCAGATATTCAATTTTATTTATCTAAACGTCTATCTTCAGCTGATGAAAATTTTTATTTACAACCTAATCCATCATGGTTAGAAACTTGCATTTGGTTTAGAAAAGCTCATATTGGAAAAAATAGTTTAAGAAATTTATGCAAAAAATTGGCCATGAAACTCAAATTGATATTCCTATTGGATTACTTTCTAATCATTCTGGACGAAAAACTGCTATACAAATTTTACAAGATCAAAAAATTTCTGAATATGCTATTATGCAACATACTGGTCATAAAAGTGTTTAGGGAATTCTGGCTTATAAAAAAATCAATAAAAACCAACAACTTAATACTTTAAATACATTGATTAATATTACAGATATTAAATTATCTTCTGAACAAAATGATTCATTTATTCAAAATAATATCAATATTAATAAAGTTTATTTAATGTCACAAACACCTCTTCAAGAAATTTCTTTAAATTCAAATCCTTTAAATGAATCACCTATATTTAATAATTGTACTTTTTTGAATGTTTCTTTTTATATCCAAAAATAAGTTATTAAAATTATTTTGTGTATACTATATTTTTAATAATTAAATATAAAATTATTTAATATTATTAAATTAACTTTTATAATATGATTTATATGATTGGTCAATTATACCGTGAAAATATCAGTAAAAAAAGTCACAGAAATTGATTAGGAACTGTGGTATAATTTATTTATTTAATGAAAAACTAACTGTGATGATTATTGGTTGATAGTCACATGATGTGAATAGAGAAACACACGTGATCAGAAATTTATTTATAGTGTATAGAAATATATTGTCCTTCACTTCGTTCCGGACAATTATTATTATAAAAAGATTTTAGTATGTAAAAGTTATCTACAATTAGGATAATATTATTTAGATTGTTTATTGATTTACTAAATCACAGAATGTTATCTATATATATTAAATATAATATATGAGCATTTTGTATAATTGGTGATTATCCACAATATTTGTGAAAAAGTTGGTTTTAAATAGTATTTTAATATTAATTATATAATTCAAACTAAAAGTGAATTGTAATATACAGTATATACTGTATATTAAAGTATAGGAAAAATTATCTTGTCTTAATTAATGTTTAAGATAACTTTATAGTCATTAGTATTAATTAAATTTATATGAAAAAAAGTTCAAATAAAATTAAAAAAAAAAGAGAAAAGAAAGATATTAAAGTGCTTTTTAAAGCATGTCTATTCAGAAAATTTATAATGTTAAATGAAGATAACATAAATAATCTGAGTGACATATATAAACCAATAACTAATATATCATATAAGCTATTACATATGAAAATCAGGTTTTAATCATATGATTTATATAGTTTTATAGTATGATTTTTGTATATACTAATCCATATGTATCTTATATATCATATTTATTTTATATATTACTTATATTATTTATATTCTTTATATGTTTTGAATACTTTATATAATTATTTTTATTTAAATATATCTTAAGTCTTACGATAGTATAGTAAACAATATGTTTGAAATAATTTAAATACATTTTAAATTAGTTAAACTAAATAATTTAGTTTATTATAAATCTTTGTATAATACAAAACATTAACAGAAGTAGTACAGTACTTATTTGTTAATACATATTGAATAAATAATTATATTTTTAATTTAATCTATAATCTACTTATAAAACTTATATTTTCTACTTATCTTATCACACTTTTAACTTTTAAGTAATTATATAAAACTGATCATAATAATAGATTTAAAGATGATAAGGTTGTTTAAGACTTTTATATTATATATACAGTATCTGCAAAATATGTGATATTCTGAGTTATGAAAGTAAATTTAAAGACTTTTCTAATATATTACATATTAGTTTTAAAGAGCTGTAAAATAATTAACTTATATAATTTACTTTTATTTATTGTCTTTGCATTATCTATTTATGTTTATGTAATCTTAAAAAATATATATTTAATTAAAATTAAATACAAATAAAAAATAGCAAAAATATAGAGAATTTCGTTATTTTCATTATAATTTCTTATTTTATTATAGGATTTGCTGATTTTTTATTATTTATTTACTTGCTAAAATTAAAATAAATAATATTTAATATAGCAAATAGTGATCTGAATCAGTCAAATTTTTTTATATTTGATTTATTAATCATTTATAATATCAGTAATTGATTAGTATCTGATTTAGTTATCCAATTAATCAAATAATTTGAATAATCCAATTATTTAAATATACAAATAAATTATTTATAAAATATATTATAAATTTGTTTTTATTATAATCAATTTATTAGTATTAGATTATAAGATTAAGAAATGTATGTCTAATTGAAATATGATTTTTTATATCTGAAAATAAACGTTCACTTTGGATTAAAATAGCTATTATAGAGATATTTATATATTAATTCAGATAAAAAAAACCTTTTTATTTATTCCATTATTCACTCAGATTAATATCATGTATAGTATATTTTAAATTGTTATAATTAATTATTTTATTAATAGTTGTATAAATAGATTTTCATGTAGTAGTAATTAAATCAATTAATTAATAAAAAAAACTAAATTAATCAATATATATAGTTAATTAATATATAAATTATAAACTAGTTATACTTACTATTAAAATCTCTTTCATTATCATTATTAAAAATATTAATATCTGATAATGATAAAATTGTTAAAGATAATTCTTTTAATTTGACATGAAGTATTTTCTCAATTCTAATTTTTTTTTCTTGTATAACAAATGATAAGTTTTTAAATCTTGGATCTAAATATATAACTTTAAGATCAATATCTGATGAAATATTTCAATATTTATTTAAAGCTTATAGAATTATAAATTTAATTTGATTAATTACTTTTTTGTAATTATAGGTTAATTAATTTTAATTTGACAATATGTAATAGGATCAACAATCTTATTAATATCATCATTCAATTATTCAAAAGGATTTTCTTCTTTCTTATCTAAAATACAGACCCAGCTAAAAGTCTCTAAATACTAATTTTAACATCCTATTTTTCTATTTTTCATAATACAATAATTAGAATTGGTTCAAATTTTTATATAATCTTGATATAATCTCAAGCTACAGAGAACAGTCAAAAGTCTTTAAACACTAAATTTGATATCATATTTCTCAAGATGCACTGATTAGAATTAGTTCAAATTTCATATAATCTTGATATAATCTCAATCTATAATATATTAAAATTTTATTTAATTTGAATTAGTAAAAACTAAGATATGTATATAAATATTAATTCATAAATATTTTAATCATATAAAAGTTTCTGACTATTAAAATTTAATATCATATATCATAAGATTCACTGATTAGAATTAAATAAAATTTTTATATATTTATAATATAATCTTAAAATAATAATATATCAAATTTGAATTATTAGAAGCTAAGATATAATAATACATAAATAATTTTAATTATAAATTTTAGTTAAAGATTTTAAATATATTTTCTAAATATCTAACAATTCAAATTAAATTAAATTTTAATATGTAATAAATCAATATATTATTTATAAATATTAAAATTTGAAATAATTT